CTTGGGTGGGGCTGAGCAGATTCAAGCTAATGCCATATTAATTACGTTTAGGTTACTCTAGGTCACTTTCTAAATCTTTTTATGCCTGGGTGGGGGAATTCCTAGATTGACAAAGCATTTCTTCCTTCCCCAGATGCAGCAATTGCTCAGGATAGGATTAAGGGTGGGGCAGCACCAAATGGAGCGCCCACCCTTATCCTTCTTCCCAGGTGAGCAATTGCTGGAGACTGCACCAAAGCAGGGGACCCTTGCCCTGAGATGAGCCAGAGATCCTAACCGTCTACCTGACAATTTGACCAAAACGAGAGTTTCAGAAGCATAAACTATACCTAAGATGTACTGTTCATCTTTTGGCAAATGTTTCTAACTTAATGATTTTCTCTGAAAATATGTTAATAATTTTTAAAAGTTAGAAAATACGCTAATAAGTCATTGTAGGGAAAATAAGTGCTTCTAATTTTCAGTCTTTGGTAAAAACTTAAGGATAAAAATATGATTAAATAGTTCAGTGCCATAGGCAATTTCAGCTTTTAGAGCCAGAAGTAAGTTATATAATGATTCGTGTACAGGCACATGTACATTAATTTGAGCTTTGCTGCTAATTGCATCTTTTGAAAAATAAAGCAGCAATACCTCAAATGGCATTGGAAATACTTTAAAAATATTTATCTATATAACCCAGCTTTAAGGATCAGCATAGCTTATCATTAACAAAGTTTTGGATTTCAGTATGGTAGCTACTGAGGAATGTCTAAAAATGTTTGCATTCTGGGCTTCTGCAAATCTAAGGTGCTACTTTTCAGAAAAGCTGATCTGAAGAGCTTTTTACATAAAGATCTTAAGTTCTGAAATGTATTTCCTCAGGGTGCTCTAATTTAAATCCTACTCCTCCGCTGACTTGTGGGCCTACAGGGACAAAACACAGGACTTTTAGTTTGCTAGTGGTGTAAAACAGAAGCCAATTTCTACACATAGTGGAAAAATTAGGGAAAAGAGAAACATAAGATGCCTGGACATTTCTTATCCGTTGAAAGCATCTTTTGTCTCAGTTATTCTTCCACATGGAGAAATCAACAATGAAAATGCCATGCTCAAATAAACCTGCTCCTATGTAGCTAACTAACATTCTGTGCAAGAGGCACTTTACCCGATGATTGCTAACCCTCACATGAGCCCTTCCAGGTATACCTGTTGGCTGAAAAGGAGGAGGAGGCTTGCCAGCTTCTGGTATGTGGCCCATCTGAGATAGTAACTTAAGTCACCTGGCTTCAAAGTCCATACTCTTCCCACTACATTCTAAGATAAGAGGGTCAGAATCTTTTTCCAGGTAAATGAAACTGACCTGAATGATTATTTAAGCAAACATGCAATTTGGCAGGTATTGAAAGAAATCTCTATCAAGTGCAAGCAGCCTTAGTGGGTCTTCAGAGGCTGGCCCCTGCAGTGCAGGTAACAAGAACCTGCACTCCCACCTCGTCTGGAAAGTGATAGGATGGTTAGCACCTCCTAGGTCTGTCCATGTTAAATAGAAGATAAGAGATATGTCATAGTGTAGAACTCACACCACCTAAGATTTTGAGAAACGTAAGAGAGAGAAGCCCATTTCCCTACCTATGTCCAGAGACCTGTGTACATAAATGCTGACCCTAAAAAAAGGGCACAGCAGGGAGAATTTGATTTTCAGTTTTTTTTTAAGTTTGGAATTTATAAATTTATACTGCATATTTCCTTTGAATATATGTATTCATAGGAATTTAAGTAGTATGCTTGTAGTTTTAAGAAATAAGACTTAGAAAAAAATTACAATAGATTTGTGCAAATAAAATCAGTCTGTGTTACCAAATGTTATTTTATGATTCAGGGGTTGATCATATCTCCAGCTGCCTTGTCATCCTAACATTCCATTATCCTATCACAAAATACCATGCTTTTATTAGAGGAAAAAATGCTCATCTGGTTCGCATCAAATTTAATTACCCCAATACTTGCCTAATTGTGGAGTTGTCTCAAGTTCTAAATGCATCCATTCCCTTAAAAATTAATAGTTTTGTAATGAAGAAAGATGAGGTAAACCTTTTAGTAGGACGACATTTAAAAAGTAAAGTGGAAATTAAAGTGTATAAATACAAAGAAGAACAAGAAAAATGTTAAAGTCCTTCTCTCTGCCTCCACGCCCCTTCTGGTCCTCCTCTTCTAGACACAGACTATAGTACACCAAGAGAGGGGAGAGAAGATGGAAACTCATTTGAAACTCAACCAATATTTATGTGTTAGTATGTGGTAGGCATTATTCTAGATACTTGCAATATATGACAATGAAACTGAGATCCCTACTTTGTGGTATCTTTTACTCAAGTAAGGGGTGCTTGGTAGGGGTAGAGGTGGAGAGAGAGAGGCAATAAGCAACTAAGCATTAAAAATAATAAATAAGTAAATTAGATAAGATATAAGCAGGTGATAAGTGCTATGGAACCAAAAAATGGAGCAGGATTATAGATTAGATATGTGGAAGACAGGTAAAAAGTAGTCTATGATATTAAAAGGGGTAGATGGAGGGTGTCATTGAGAATTTAAGTTGTGATCAAAGTGAATGAGTTAGCATGTGGTTATCTAGGAACAAATACTCCAGGTAAAATCCCTAAACCAAGAGCATGCCTGGCTTGCTCAAAAACACAACAAGGAGTACAGAGTGACTGGGATGAAGTGAATAGGGGAAACATTGCAGGGGAGGAGGTCAGAGAGTTAACAATGGCAGATCATGCACAGTGTTTCTGGGTCCTATCAGGACACAGCCTTTTACTTTATATAAAACAGGAAGCCATTGGAGGGTTTCGAGCAGAAGAGAGACATATTTGAGTCACATTTGACAGCATCATCCTGGTTCTCTTTGAGAATAGACTGTGGAGGAGGCAAGGATGCAAGCAACTTGGGAGACCAGTTAGGAGTCTCAAAGTAATTCAGATGGTGGCACGAATCAGGTTGGTAGTAGTGGAGGTGTTAAGAGGTGGTTGGATTCAGGACATGTTGTGAAGCTGAAACCAATATGATTTTCTGATGAAAAAACAAGTGTCAATCAAGGATACCAAGATTTTTGGACTGAGCAACTGGCAAAATGGAGTTGCCATCTACTGGGATTGAAAATCTCTGGGTTTATAGATTTGTAGGGAAAGGTAAAAAGTTCAGTTATGGACATAGTAAGTTTGAGATGTCTGTTAGTCATCCAAATGGAGATGTCAAGTAGGCATCTTCTGCACTGGACAGAGACTTTGGTAATACTCAGCATGACAGAGGTATTAAAAATCCATGGTTCTGGATGAGATCATACAGGAAGTGAATGTAAATAGTGAAGACCTAGGACTGTATCCTGGAACACTTCGGTATGAAGAGAAAGAAGGAAAGCCCAGCAAAGGAAACTGAAAACAATTGACCAGTGAGGTGGAAGGAAAACTAAGGAAGAACAGATATCTAAAAGAGGAGATGGTGAGTGGCTGAGTCAAATGATTCTAAATCTGCTCATAGAAACAGGAGTTTTTAAAAGGTATGTGGAAAAAATGGATCACCACCCACTTTGGACCATATAAATCAAGGAAGAACTTTAAAGTATATACATTATATATGCAACTTAGCTCCATGTCATCGTTTAAAGGCCACAAAAGAGAAAGCAAGCTACAAGCTCTGGGGCTGAAAGCACAGTTCCCATTAGTCTTACTGTTAATTTTGACTTCCATTGTTGAGACAGTGTCCATCTCCTAGCCTCTACCTTAAATAAGTTATGTGTTAAAGGCCATTTGCTATACCAAGTTCATGTGTTTCCTGTTGCAGAGAAAACTGTAGAATATGTTTCAGATGTTTGTATGTTTATATTCTCACTTCACAAAATTGGTGAAGATATTTTTGTCAAAAAAAAAATTCAGTTGACTCTATCTGCCAACTCTTTCTCATAATAGGTGTGGAGATTGGTAATTAATATCCTCTGCCATGTGAAAAACAGAATCATATGTCAGAAAAAGAGTAAGTCAGCAGAGATACCACCTGATAACTCTCCCTGTCTGAGGAGGAAGAGGAGAGCACAGCCTCTGAGCAGGAGAGTTCACATTTTCTCTTTACCAGGTGCTGAAGAAAGCAGAACAGGTAAGTTATGGGTCTATTAAATCCTGAGGTGGGTGGGGCCACTTTACTAGGCTAACCTGAGTATCTGGTTGGCACTGGAAAAATACAGCTGGGCTTAAACCTGAGTAATAAAAAGAGAATAGCAGAGTTGGGTATGTAAAGTCTCACTCGGTTTACAGAAAGCCAAGAAGAGATCTTTTGTGTGTAAGACAAAAACTCCAGAAATGTCCTTTACACTTGCCGATGGTTATATAGAAAGTTTTGGAAAACCATTGAAGTGTTTGTGATGTTTGCACATCAATGAACTTCTGAAGCATAGGATTTATAAGGGAAGTAAAATGGAAACATATACAGTATGTAATATAATAGGAAATTTTAGGTGAGTCCTCTTCAAAATAAAATTATCAAAACAGATAATATTGGAATTCTTCTTTCCTCCCTCCTTCCCTTCTTGTTAGCCTCCCTTCTTCCTTCCTTTCTTTTCTTCCTTCTTTCTTCTCACTTAGCAAATTAAATGACCTTTTATTATTTTCTCCCTTGATTCTGTTTGTGGCTAGGACTGCAGAGTTGATCCTAGGGAACCTTGGTGCTATGGGGTGGGCAGCCTCTCTCCATCTTCTCCTGACCTTGACAGAACATCTCTCAAGATTCCAGCACCAGAATCAAGGAATGGGGTATGACCCATAGTCTTCTGAAAAATAATTTTTTATAATAAAATATGTTTTAAACTTTTCTACTCAAAGTTACTTTTATAAAACAGAAAGAGAAAAAAAGTCTTGATCATTTTTGAATAAAAAATAAATAAAATGATAAATACTTTAAAATCATGCATATTTTAATATTTCTATTTTATATATTTTTGGTATCAAAATTGTACTGGGATCGCAATATTTTCTTGCTGCTAAGAGATATCCATAGGCACTTAATCATTTAGTTAATGAATCTACAAAAATGGAACATTAGCATAAAATATTGAAGGTGTTTTATCTATTTGAAATGCTAACATTGTTTTTTTCAAAAAAAGACAACATATACCAAAGAAAAACTAAATTGGCATATTTTAATTCTACAAAAATGTATAAATATTTAAATTTATAGCAAAAGAACAATTATACCATTTAGTAATGATTACAATATTTAAAATGTGTAATTATGCACAATCTACTTTTATAAATGTTAAAGAACCGTGTGTCAAGCATAAATCTAAAACATTTTTGAAATTACTTCTTTCTAGCTGTGGCTACACTGACTGAAATAAACAAAAGCCTCAAAAAAAATCATGTAACCATCAAGTCCTTTTTTTTCCCCTGCTTGTGCTATTTTTAGCTGAAAGTACAACTGGAACCAAGCAGCAGCTTACGCTCATTTTTACACCAAATGAATGCATGATGAAAATCTCATTTTTAAAAAACATTATAGATATAGTCTCAATCGTCTAATTTCCCATTCTCATTCTAGCTCATTAAAAACAGAATATTAAGTGATTTGTTCTCGCTAGCTAAAAACAAAAACAAAATGATAACTTTATATAATGATGACACAAGTATCATAGAAGTGGTCTTTATCTTAAAAGATAATTAACAAAAGAGCTGCCCTGAATCACTAGTATTTCAGAGGGATTTTTTTTAAACAAATACAATGAAAATTGCCTTTAGAATTTATTGAATGATATAAAACAAATCTGTGCACAAATTTACACAAACTATTTAAAACACATTGCTGGTGTTCATTCAACACCTTAAATCTATACAATAGTTTATATTTAATAGCAGTTTGAACATAGTGTAGTCACAATAGATGTGTCCATGGACTATACATAAGAGTGGCTGATTTTATCTATTCCATACTTTAACATGTTAGGGAAAATGGGCAGTGGCTGCATCCTGAAACACAAGCTGCTTTAAGACCTAATTGAATTTTTGCTGCCCAACTAAACTGGAAATTTACTCAATATGTGCGGATATCAGCTATGCGGATGACAGCTTGTTGATGGTGACACATCCATTAAGGTCTTAAGTTTCTAAAATTCTTCGTATTTGTGAAATCAGTATGTTAATACTTTATAACTTAAGAATGCATACACATTTGGCTTCCTCCTAGACTAGGTTTAGCATCTATAAATGATATGCAAGTAAAATGGCTGTGCTCAGATATGATCATCATTTCTGAAGTGTGGAAACAATGTGGGGAGGGAGCCAATATTTTGAGGTTTACTGAACCAATTCATAATATGTTTCTAACCTCCCACCAATTTTTTTCCAAAGGTAAAAACGATCTTGTTTTATTGTAGTAGTTATTTTTGCCTCTCTTTACTTTTTTTTTTCTTTTTATTTATTAGGCCTTTTCTAAGCATCATGGCAAAATCAAATTTATGGGTTGTGTTTACTAGAGTCTACAGAGCTCCACTGGGAAGCCAAGAAATCTCTGCTGATTATCCTGCAGTGTTTCAAGCTGCATAAAATAGAACTTACCCAGTGTTCACAGTAATAGATGGTCTAATTCTCTGTGTAAGCTGTAGGCCGACCTTAACTTTAATTTAAACATGATTATAGGGAAAATGAAAGTTAGTAGAGAGTATTTTCCATTAGTTAATGTTGAAGAGGCTTTGCTTCCCTGAAATCCAGTTTTCTAATAATTCTAGGATGTTCCTGTAATCACGCTGTTTCCTGGTAATTTCTTTAATTTTGTCAGAAGTCTTTACTTATTGCCTCTGTTATTATTTTATAGAACTAATTTTATTTAAATATGAAAGCTAATAAGAATTTAAATACTTCTAAAGAATCAATGTACTGATCACAACATGTTTAATGAAGATATTTCCCCCATTATTGTTCCATTTCTATAATTTTTGGGTGATAGTATTAGCTTATATTAACAATGAGGAGTCCTGGCAACATTCCTTGTAGTTATATGATCCTTGGGCAAGTTATATTACACATCTAAGTCTCAGTCTTATTATCTATAAACAGAGAAATTAAGAATCTGTAAAGTCTTTTAAAGTTTCTAAAATTGTGTTTTCTTCATTGACTTGCACTTAGAAAATAATTTTAGCAATAGCTCTTATGAAACCATGAAAATATATATGATTTTTAAGAGAATGATACGTCTTCCTTCAAAAGTCAAAATCTTACCCCCTCAGCTGGCCATTGCACACAACCAAAAACTAAAAATTATAATTATTTTTAGCTTCATGAAGCAACTTATATAATATAGCAGCATTTTAATAAAATGTCATATTTCATTTCCATAAGGCAGGATATTTTATCACAGAGAACAACATATAGTCCATACTTTAATATGAAGAATATTAGAAAGAAAATTATCATTTGGAGACAAAGTTATGGAAATCCTGTCTAAATATATTATTAGATTTTATTTTAAAATTTAAAACAAAAATGTATGATACAATAGCATTTCATAATTTTAACACACATTTTGCAGTTCATTAATTCCAGAAATATTTAAAGAATATTTAGTATGTGTCAAGAACTATGCTATATGCTGTGGATACTACAGTGAACCAAAGTGACAAAGTCCCTGCCTTTATGGGACTTACATTCTAGGTTGTCTCATGAGGGTGTTGGGGTCTGGGGAGATAAAAGAGTAGACAGAAATAAGGATGAAAAATAGTTTCTCAGAGGTAGAGGGGATGGGAGGGCAGGCAGGAGAAGGGTTTGCCTTACTGATGAGATAATATTTCAACAGAGACCTAAAGATAGTGGGTAAGAGGGCTCTGTGGGGCAGTGGGAACAAAACACTAAGGCAGGAACGTGCTTGGGAGCCAAAGTGGAGTAAATAAGAAGCAGAATGGCAAGAGATAAGAGATGTAGCCAGACACGTGTGTGTGTGTGTGTGTGTGTGTGTGTGAGCATGTGGGGGGTGTGGGTGTGGAGAGAGGTGCCATTCATGAAGGACCTTGACGGCTACTGGGGGTGGGGGGAGATAAAAAGTCACTGGAAGATTGGGAGCAGGAAGTTGATAAAAAAAATTCATGTTTAAGAGAATCACTATGGCTGTTGTATTGGGAAAAGACTTTTCTCAAGACAACAAGGACAAAGATTGGGAAATTATGGAGCCAAATTATAAGCATATTGCAATTAAAAAGGTTGGAGATAGTGACACCCAGTGGATGTGGCGACAAGTCATTCATTTTTAGTTATAGTTCAAAGGTAGTATCAAGGGAACTTGCTGATGGATTAGATGAAAGTTGAAATAGAAAGCAATGAGTCAAAAGTGACTTTAGGTTTTTGACCTGAGCATTTGGAAGGTTGAGATTGCACTAACTGATGTAGGGAGGACCACAGAAGATGGTGGTTTGAAGTAATTTAAAATATCTATTAATATTAGTCTAGCTCCATAGAAAAGGGATATATAAGATGAATGTATTATGGGGCCTATCATGGTTTTAACTTTTTGCATTGAAGATAGTAAATATTTTTGAAAAAAACTGAATGTTTCCCATTGCTTTCTGGTTTGGGGTATTTTGTAAAATTTTATGTCATTTTTTAACTTGTTAGATACATGCATTGAAACTCTTTGAAGATTCTTTGAAAATTCTTCTCTAGCATGAAACTCATGCAGTTTTACTTTTTCCTTTATTTTCAACATGAACATAATGAACTTTCAAATAGTTAAAATGCTGCTAAAAATGCTTCAAATTCAGTTTTGGTGGAGTAGCTGTATTTTTAAAAATTCGTCATGGACTGTTTTCTTGATAACATGCATTTTGACTGACAAATCAATAATAAGTGGAATACATTGTATAAAAGAATCCTTGAGAATTTAAGCTTTTTAAGTTTGAGAAATAATTCTGTGCAAGCACATCTTACCTTATTTTAGTCAGGAGAAGAGGAAAAGAGTGGAGAAAAAGATGAAAAACAGAATCATTAAATCAAGCCTCAGTGGACTTGGGAAGCCATTATCAGTTTAAGGCAATGGCTCACTATCTTTTGAGAGTCACAGCTTTCTTTCTAAGTTTCTTATAAGCTATGGTCTCTCTTCAGATTAGAAATGCTCTGACATTCAAACTTTTGCTTATAATTTTAGAAGATCTAGGGAGTCCTAGAGACCTTGATATGAGGGATAGCTACCCTTTAAGAAGCAAACCAGAAATCCTCCAGGTTGTAGAATTCTTCCCTAGAGTTGTGGCAATATAAAGTCAAATGCCAATTAGGAAAATCATTCAACAGTTTACTGTTCATTAGAAAGTGTCCTCCTTTTTGTTATAAAGCTGCGTGAGTGTGTGTGTGTGTGTGTGTGTGTGAGAGAGAGAGAGAGAGAGAGAGAGAGAGAGAGAGAGAATTTGTGTATAGCCAAACTGATTAATACTTTCTATAAGAGCTTTCTAAATAAAAATGAACATGTGAAGCCAGCTTAATTATGACTGTGTTCCTAGGGCCATACTTTATAGAAAATGGTATCTATTAATTAATAAAATTATTTTTATTTACCTAAAATAAAATCTTAAAGAATGTGTATGGAGTTTATTCCTCTGGTGATGAAAACTTTAGATATTATAGCATGGCAATGAAATTCTGATACTAATGTATTCTTTTTCTTAAATATAAAATTAAAATGACAATAGAGACCTAACTAAAATAATTAAATGCAATAGAATTAAAAATTAGGTCTAAAGCTCTCCTCTGCACCTACAATTCTGTACAGCATAAGTAGCAAGCTATAGTCTCTAGAGTAAAGAGAAAAGGCATGGTATAGATTATGGAGACAATGATTGCAGTTAAGGATTGAGTTTCTGACATCAACTCTGACAGAGAGATTGTTTAGCTTCAGCCTGTGCTAGGAATCATTGCAACCCAGCCGGAGTACCTCTTAACAATGATTTGTGTTGCAGTTTAGATTCATCTAGTTCTCCTCAATGCCTGTTAATTGCTCATTTCATGTACTTTAAATTGAATTTTCAAATTCTCCTCTTTTTTAAATTTGCATTTGTTTAGATGTGATGCTTTTATAAAGTCTCTATGAATTCAATATCCAATTTAATTTTTTTCCTGGTACAAAATTTGGAACTAACATTTTATAAGATGAATTCACTGTTCAGAAATAATCTAATATGTGGCCCTGTTGCTGACATAAAAATTCAACATGTTTCCATGAAGGTCCAGTAGAAAGAGTGAATTTATAAAGCAATTGATAATATTTCATAATGAAGTTATTTTATAAGGCATTTACATTATCTCTCTTTCAATCACTATGACAATAACAAATAAAATAACCCCCAACTAACCCTGTGATAGGAGGGCAATAATATTTTTTTTAAAGCATACACAATTTGATTTTCAAGTTCTGATATTTAATAACAGTTTGCTAATATTTATATTTTTATGTGCTTCTTTGATCAGATACAAATTTTAGTAGGGAAATAAGCAAACATTCCTAAAAATAAATTATAAACAACTGTGTTTTAGAATACTAAAAGGATTTTTAAAATTTTCAATTCAGCAAAGTTAATATTTTCCCCAAATTGAAATAATGGAAAAACAAAAATGTAGACACTTTCACGGTTTGGGGGGAATGGTCTTTACGCCCCCAAGGTCATGTTCCTTAGCAGCCATTGTTGAGATCTGCTTCCACTACAGTCCTGCATGGTAGGCACCATTTTGTCTTCCTCTGAAGGTTCATCGAGACATTGATTACTGTTAACATGTCTCAAGGTGAGTCTCTGTAAAAGATAACGAATAATCAGTGCAGCCTATTTCATCTTTAATTCACTAGCACATCAGATTAAATCTGTTCTTTTAAATCCTTTATGATTTTTTAAGCATTGTACGTTGTGATATATTTGTAAAAGGAACTGTGTCCAGGTGTCTCTGGATTAGTTATTATACAACTTTAACTGTTATGGAGTCATCATTGTCTAATACACCTTTATTTGCAGATGGTTAAAGAAATTGGCCGACATTTATCAAGCGTTGCCAAGAATTCAGGCTCCTTTGAAAAAGCCCATTTGTGAGTTCTGAGTTCAGCTGAGGACTGCAAATATTAACAAGCTTTTGCAAAAGCTTAGTTTTCTTAGGCATGTGTTATTCAGTAACCATTTGGTAAACATGCAAATAGATGGCACAGCTGTGACCCAAATGAACAAAACTGCTAGAGATTTTCCCATTTCAAAATACTAAACAAGCCATAGTATCTATGACTGTAAGACATTCATTGTAGAAAAGTGATTATCATAGTAACAAGTAATCTGTCTTACTTGATAAAACGTTTGCCATATTTTTGTCTGCGTTTTTAAGGATCTTAAAAAATATTCATATTTAAAAAACCAGGCTATGATCCTCATATATATAGTTTTAAATGCTATATTTACACTTTAGTTTCTTCATAATTCCTGTAATTGTATCATTTTAACTAGTCATTGCATGTTTTCTCTTTGGAGTTCCTATGTATGTTTGAAATCACATTTTTGGACATTGAAGATATATATTTAAAGTTGATATGCTTTATGCATACTAATTATATATATTTCTGCTCAATTTCTTGGGCAATATCTAGGATCATATTATATGAAAACCTCATCAACCAAAAGATAAGTATTTGAATCTATGACAAATGATTTGCAGGTATTATTTTAAAAATAGCACTTTAAATACTTTTGTTGCAAATTACCAAAATTAAAAGTAAGCAAAGGTTTTTCTTTTTGCTCTTGATATTGCATTGAAGATGTGATGAAAATAAATGCAGGGAGTGGGCAATAAAAATAGTAGAGAAACACTAGCTAGACAATTGTAATTGGTTTAGATTAGGAGTAAAAATACCCTGGACTGCACTGTTGTGAGAAAAGATACAATGGGGAATAGGCTTGTAGTGGAAGATGCCTAATAGAAAACTAGCAGGAAATTAAAAGAGCAAGGCTATTAGATGTGATGGAGATTTCAAGATTGAGATCTTTGTTACTTTCAATACATGCTATTAATACTGAAAAATGAAGAAAGGGAGAAATGGCCAAAGTTAGGCAAGATGATGGCTGAGTTACACTTATGTTGCCAGAACTTCAACCAGCAGCCAGCTTGAAGAAAAAGGATATAGAACAAAAATAATATTTTTTCCTAAAAAGTTTTAGTTAAAATCAACAACAAATGCTTCATTTTTTGTTACTTACCCAAAGTCCTTTGTGTATACATTCTCTTTCAAAAAAGATCACTTACCATTGCATGCTTCTGTTAGGTTCTTTTTAAAAAAAATGTATAATTTTATATATATCAAATGTTTCACTGCCCATTAGCTACCCCAGAAAGCACTGCCATTGTCTTATTCCAATCTGATCACACATCACAGATAGTTGAATACTTTGATCAATTATCAGTTACTTTAGGTCAAAATACAGCACAAACTCTGAGATTTTTCTTTAAGGATCATATTGAATATGTGTTGTCATCTACACAAATAATGACAATTTAAGAAAATACTAAGTGTTCTTTCTAAAAAAATGCATAAATATTTCCTTTGAAGGAATTCATTATTAGTCAAAACACACTGCTACAAAGATAAAAAACAAATAACCAAAACACTCTGTTTTTTAATGTAGTGCAGTATAAAATCAGACATTTTAGGCTCAGGTAGATCAAAGTGTGCGAATTCCTATTCACCCACTTAGTACCTGTGAATACTTGGGCAAGCTACCAAATCATTCTGAGGAATCAAATTCTTTGTCAGAAAAATACTTAAATTACATTTACAAATGCTTAAAAATACTCTTTCCCCTTCTGCTTAAAAAAATTTGACCTTCAGTCAATTATCTAACTTGGATCCCTTGACAACCCAATAAGGGTAAAAATGTTAACTATGTTTCTAGGCAACATGTTTTATGGTAAAAATGATTTCTGAGTGATAAAGTATACCTTCATCTGATAAACTCATGTAAATACCTGATCAGAAGCAAAATGTTGGGCTTTGCTATGTGTAAAGACTCTTGTAATTTTACATGTTCCATTGGGTTCCTGGAAGCCAGGCCTATGGAATTGTTGCAGGAGATATCATCTTCTGTGAGCATAAGGTCATTAGGCCAGGGCGGTTTCCACACCTGTCTGATGTGAATCACATCTCCTTGCACCAGGCTGTCATCTGTAAAGAAGCTAGCTCCCAGAATGCTGTAAGAATTGTTATGGGAACTGCCGCAAGTTCTCCTACTGAGAGAAGCAAGCTGTGGTTTCTGCCCTAGGGTAGTACTATCAGTAGACTTGTGAGATGTAATGTTTAGTTAATGTAAATGTTTAGTTAAGCCTAAAACCCCTTGTTGAGCATTGCACGTGCCAGGTATGGTTGCTTTGAAAATAAACTAAGACACTATATGTAAATTGCCTTGTAAACAAATTTGACTTTTCCAGCTTTTTCAACTTTTATGTTTGGAATGTCCTTATGTTAAATGGAGTTCTAATCAAAACAATATCCCTTTTGTCCTTCACTCTTCATTCCCCACTTTGTCATAGCCATCCAAGCTCAATTATTTCCTCCACTAACAATCTTTAACTAGTTCACCTGAACTAGAAAAACTCCCTAACTTTCCTTGACTCTTATAGTAAGGTATTGGACAAAATAAAATGTTTTATTTATTAGACAATAAGCCACTTAAAAGCACAACTTGGACATTTTCACTCTTTACAAAAATTCCATACCAGTTTATTGACTTGAACTGAATACTGATTCATTTTACTACTTACTAAAAAGATAGTCTCAAATCATACAAGTGAAAGATAAAAGGTCAATTTTTAAAAGGTTTTATTGTTATATCACTTAACCGACCACAAAGAAATGCTTAGAAATAATTTTCTCTATAAACGTATTGAAAGTTACATCTTTAATAACGCATTTGCTTAGTGTTTCAGGTTAAAATAATTACAAATTTTAGGAAGGATATGCTATATCTCCATGCAACCAAAGTATCAGAATAAAAATTAACAAAATTAATTTAAGTGTCCCCGAAACAATCCTTTTTGGGCTATGTTAGTTTTTTATTGATTTTTTTCAGCTCTGATGAAAAAATCTATTATCATCCAGACATGACTATGGTTAGACTAAAAACAGTTACTATCTCATAATATTTTTTCATTAATTATATGTATGCACATATATGCCTATATATTTGAATAAAGATAAAACAGGAAAGTACCTATTCATTAATGATAGACTAAACACTAACTAATATTAATACATGCAGTCTCCAAATTAATGAGCAGCTAAGAAGTAAAAGACATGAAAATAACTCCACAGAGAAATAATACATAAAAACTTTTCTTAACCACATTTTAAAGAAGTTTCCGGATTTCAACAACCAAACATAAAAATACTAAAATAAATGTAATCAAATCTACAACACAAACCTTTAAAAATCATTAGGGAATATAATCAGTAGAATTTCCAAAAATATTTCTAAAAACTTCCATTCTTGTGTGGTTTCTTAGGAACCATTTTTGCAAAGCGCTATCATTACATGTTTCCACAGTGGGATGTTTGGAGCCATCAGCTACTTTGTTCACTGAGAGACAAGACTGGGTGATTATATGAAGAAAAGTGTGGGTCTGTTTGACAAAGAAAATAATGAATAATGACAAAATCAAGTATAAAAGCAGTAATAAATCAATCATCCTAGGCAACATACAATTTCTACTGGATAAGGATGGGAGGCACATGTCATAATAATTGCATCCATGGAGCTGTGAGCCACCTTCTTTTAGATGGCTTTAATATCAACTGTATTCAGTAGGAGTAAATGAAGATAAGACTGAGAAATGCGGACGGAGAGAGGTTTGAGATTAAATGAGGAAACATTTTGGGCAAAAGATTATTTTAGATATAAATGATTATATTCTCAGTATTCCTCTTAGTAATAAAATGCTTTTTGGTACTGAATGAGTTATTTTGTGAGTGGATATTAAACATAGTTGACTAGTCCAATTATGGTCGTTGGTCTTCTCAGTCTTTTGCCCTAAATGTGAGTGAACACCAGGGAAGAATCTGGAAGATAATTTAGCTTTCATGCTTTGCTTGACTGTGTACAGTACGGTACCCAAATTGCTCCCACTTACGGTTTCATAGGTCTAACCTGGTAGTTAATGAAAGGAGGAAAAAATAAAAAGATCAAATCTATTGGGGTTCTTATCTTGTTCTAATTATTCAGACACAATTTTAATTAATTCATCATTAATTTGTCTGTTTCTTACTTTCCATCAATGTACCACACAGCAGCAGAATCTCCAGAAAGGCCACAGACCACGGATACCTGTATCATGAAGCCCAGTGCCTGCCCAGGGAGATGCTAAATAAATTCGTTGATTGAAGCATTTAGTGAAAGGCCAGTGCAGAAAATAAATTCTGTTAAAATTAAATTGTATCTCTTGGACAGCTTAATGGACACAAATCATTGGATTTATCTTTCCAAGGATTTAGCTTCTATAGTAAAATGGTAGATAGATAACTTATAAAGATAGGAAAGGTAATATTCTATTATACATGTCTTTTATCTGTAAAATTATACTGTTAACTATATACAGTTTGCTTTGTTAAGAAGATTATTTCTTTTTTTTTTAACCGAATCTGAATTTCCCATCCTGTCCATTTCATCCATTTAAAATTTCTAGCCTAGATCATTCTCTGCCCTCAGTGATTTTTCCTCTTGCACTGAACTTTTTTTGGTAAATGTCATGTTAACATCAAAGAGATCAG